GGAAAGAGCATTTTCTAATACATACGAAGAAATAATTCCCATTCCTCTAACACACTGCAATACTGTACATTTCGGAGAAAACAACAGCATTACCTTCAGTCTAGAAAAATGCTAAAAATCTTGTTCCTAGAAGGTACTTGGCAAAGCAAATGGCAGCCTTAAAAAAAAATAAGCGAACCCCCAAACTAAATTCAACCTGACTAAAATAATGTGCCAAGTAAATAAGTTCTGGTTCACATTTACTGCCTATTGTTAAACTTCCATTTGGTTTCCTCTTTCTCCCTGTTTCCAAACACCCTGCTTTAATTCAATAGACCCAGTCATGCTCAGGAAATTATAAACTTGCTAGTAACTATACCAAACAAGTAATTAGAGCAACAGCATCAGCTGTCCTACTGTATGTGAATGCCATTCCCAATTGGTCTGCTTTAAATACGTAAAGTTAAATAACATTTGGACCGTGTTACAAAGTTAAGATAAACACACACGCAAGGCACTGTGTAGCTTTTACTGTTTGTCTAAATCTATCATCTGTCATCTGCCAGATGCCCAAGGGTGTCAAGATGAAAAGTCAAGCCTTGAGCTGCCAAAGCAGCCATGTGTCATTTATTACTCAAAAGCAAAGGTGCATTTACAAACCATATGGGTACAACTTGAGCAAAACTAAAAGAGTTAGTGAACTATAGCAGAGGCATAGACCAGGGTGGAATGGGTGTGCAGCAAAGTACACTCAGTGCTTGTCCCGTGCTGTTATAAACGCATTTTACCTCTCCCTCTAGGCACAGCGTGCTTCTGCTCTTCACTTGCAGTGACAGCTACTGACTCACTCTTACAAAAACTCTGCAAGGTGTCCATAACTGCACTCGTGCCTGTCAGCGCACACGTCAGATCATTATGAAACGTTCTCCTTTTGTTTTGTCTACTTCCTTAAGTTGCATAAAATGTCAGATAATCAAAAGAAAAATAATCAAGTGTTCCGTTATGGAAAAGAAAGAGCCTCTCATTGACAACTGAGGGTTGCTGTTGACCTAGTCACAGTCCAGTCTGCTAGCACCTTTCCTGGGCAAAGCCAGTGGGCTCAACACACAGCTGACCTTGAATGAAATGGACTCAGGGCATTGACAAAAAGGCCCCAAGGCAGAAACTGCCCCTGTAAAAGTGTGGCACAAGACTCTTGAGGCATTCCCACTTTTCTTCTGCTGGTGCCTCCTTTTCCTTGGTCAGCAAGTTGCAAGGAGGGTAAGCGATACGAAAGTTCTTTTTTTTCCAGTTCAACGGCACGGAAGGGTTAGTCTGCCAGGAACCAGAGCCAGTATGAACATGTTCGTAATGACATCTGCAGAATTTCCTGACACTATTAAAAGAACATCCCCTGCTCCAAGTGCGTGCGCTCATGTATGTGTATGTGTATACATACAAACCACATCTTCACGAGTCAATGTCTTAGTGGTAATGGCAGGAACCATTATAAGGTAGAGGTCTTCACACACTCATCTAAGGACAACCAGCCGCCCCACGTACTTTCAAGTCGCTTCCAGCACACTTCCATCTAATAAAAACAGTTTCCATCTACAAGGTGTAGTTTGAGCCAGTAGAGCAAGATTTATTCACACTTTCACAAAGTTTAGACTGTACATTCATTCATTGCTTTACAAGTCAAGCGGCCCTAATCCAGCCTGTGAATCCCGCTGTTTTCCTGCCAAGGGATCGAATGCCCCAATAACACTCCCCGCCTATGGGGTGAGCCGCTGTCACTATAG